GTTGCTACATCGCACCCTGACTGGCTCATCTCCTTCCCATATCCTTCTGTAAGGGGATGTCCAGTGGCCTACTAATGGGCTTTGGGTCTCCACTCTGCATTCCTCCCCTCATTCACTAAAAGATTTTTTTGTTCTGATGATGCCTGATACCTAATCCCTTCGGCACCTCGTGATCGCACAGGCTGGTGTGCTTCTTCCATGTGGGCTTTGTTGCTTGTGAGCTAGATGGCCCTTGTTTACCTTCAAGCCTTTAAGACCCCAGGCGCTATTTCTTTTGATAGCAGGACACCATCAGCTTTCTTTGCCACATTTGCTTATGCCCCCATTTATCTTCAGCGATCATATCATGGAGGAAAGAATGTTTTTTTTTTGAATCCTTCCAAAGAGCATAACACTCATTCTTTAAATGCCCATAATGTGCCCGGATCTATGTTAGGAATACAAGGATAAATTGACTTAACATTAGTCAGATGACCTTTTTAAAAAGAAAACAATGCTTAAAATGTGGAAATTGTGTCTTCAGTAGTTAGTAACTGAAGAATGTTTATATCTCCAAATCCCAGTCAAACATTGTCATTGTCCCCCTCTCTCACTGCTTTCGAGGTGATTCCAACTCAGCAACCGATAGAGGCAGGAGAAAACTGTCCCTGCAGGTTTCCGAGACAGTAATTGCAATAGCAGAACGTCTTGTATTTCTCCATGGAGCGACTGGTGGTTTCAAACTGCTGACCTACTTGTGGTTTGCAGCCTGACACCAACCCACTGTGCCAAACTCACTGGCACTGAGTCGATTTTGTCTCACAACAGCCTTAGGTTTTTGAGAGTAATTCTAGGGAAATAGAAAGCCTCGTCTTTCTCCTGTGGAGTGGCTGGTGGTTTCCAACTGTAGACCTTGAGGTTTGCAGCCCAGCTCTTAATTACTACACCAGGGCTTCATAGGGAGGTATTTCATTAGAACTGGGAGTGACTGAGGCTCCCGTGGATTGCACAGATGTTCAGTAGTGTGTAAGCATTTTTTGTAAAATTTCTTAACTTGCTTTCCGTGCCTGCTCTCACAGAGCACGCACCGTAGACATTCTGTCCACGGAGTGGGATTAATTCTCCACCATAGGTTATCCCAGTAGACACCGGCGGCGCCAGAAATGTGTAATCAATCAGTCTGTTAAAATCATTCCCTTTGGGGCCAAGTTTATGTTAAGCCAAGACTAAATCTTGTTCCAGTGTATTGCCTTCCTGTTTGTGGCTAAAATGCATAAGGCTGTCTTTCTGTTGGAAATTGTAGAAAGGAATATTTAGCATGCATTGACAGTGCAGATGTTTTATATTAGGTCTAGTAGGAAGTTGGAGTACTTATTTGCTTCACCCTTTTTGAAATACTTGTGCAACATTCGTTTCTTCTTTTGGCTGAAGTAGTTCTAGCTAATATATTAAGAAATAGTACTAGTTTACTTTAAAAGTAATGCTTAACCATGTAAAAAATTCACTTGGCACCAAAAAATGGAACGTCTACCCTCCTTCATTGTACTTCCATTGCTGTGTTCTTCCTAACTAAAAGTTTTCTAATTGAATCATTAGAAAAGGTGAAGAAGATGATGTTGATACTGAACTGAAAAACCAAACCAAACCCATTGTCCAGCTAGTCGATTCCAACTCATAACAGCCTTACATAGGGTTTTCCAGGCTGTGAGTCTTCACAGGAGCGGAGGGCCTCATCTCTCTCCCTTGGAGCTATAGGTGGGTTTGAACTATTGATCCTGTGGTCATTATTGACCCTGCTATGCCACAAAGGCTCTTTCAGGGATCTGCAAATTAGAAGTGGGAGCACATTACATTTTTAAAGGCTGTTCATAAGAAACGAAGTCCATAATTAATTTTTAATATTATAATTATTTTCCTAAAATATTTACTGAGCTTGTCTTTTACATACCAAGCCATTATAATTGTATGATGAAACATAATTGAGTGATGGCATGGACAAGAGTTGGTTCTGTTACATATAAGATTGTTAACAATAGTAACATTCAACTGATATTTCAGACTGTAATAGTAGATGTCTTAATATCACATAGCTTATATCAATGTTGAGAAGCCCTGGTAGTGCAGCGGTTTAAGCACTTGGCTAACTACTAACAGTTAGTAGTTCAACCAGCTGCTCTACTGGAGAAAAACGTGGCAATTTGTTTCTGTAAAGATGACAGCCTTGGAAACCCGATGGGGCAGTTCTGTTATCCCTATAATGTTACCTTGAGCACAGTGGCAGTGGGTTTGTTTTTTGGACTGAAAATCAGACCGCTGCATCCTGACCTTTCCAGGTAGTGCAGACAGTGAATGCTCTTGTCTGCATTCTGCAATTGTGTTTGGGTTTTTTGTTTGTTTTTATTATGGTGGCACCTGCTCTTTAGTAACTTGGAGCATTGGCTCTGAAATTTGAGCGTGCTTCAAAAGCTGCAGGATCACTTGGAGATCTTGTTGAACACTGATTGCTGGGGCCCAAGATGTTGCATTTTGAACACATTTTTAAGTGATAATGCTTTCGGTCCAAAGCCCTCACTTTAAGAATGACAGGCATAGAGAATGGAACATGACAAGGTTCAGTCTGCCAGGATTTTAGCCACTGCTTTATCAGTTACAAAGCAAACTTTGGGGAAAGCATACAGCAGACTTGCCCAATAGAACTCTGTGATGTCAGTATTGGAGCTGTCCAGCTTACTGGCTATTGACTACATGTCGCATTGGGCATTTGAAATGGGGTTAGTACAACAAAGGACCTGGGTTTTTTGTCAGCTTGATTTTCATGAACTTAATTAAAAAGCCACATGTGGCTGGTAGTTACCGTATTGGACAGGGCAAGTCTGTAGACATGAAAATCA